AAATATAAGTTGTGGGACAACAAATTATCTTCTCACTGGAGATAATATAATTCAGAGAGCTTTTTTTTTTAAGGGAAATCAGGGCTTAGGTCTCAGCACGATGAAGCTATCAGTAGCCGCTGCAGGTTGACTCGGATCAATGGCCAGGGAGCTGACTCACATGGTGCAGCGGACTTCTCCTGTTCTCCTATTACTGTCCTCAGCAGTGGATTTTCTCCCCACTCTGCTCAGTTCTGCTCCCCCACTCTGTCTCTGGTGAATACTTTTGCCCTCCTCCCCCATACGTCTGGCCTACACTGCAGCTTTTGTATACATAAATAAACTAAGAAATCTGGGAAAAATTTTTCTAGTGAAATGTAAAAAGGTTTATGTACGACCTGTTTTAAGATCATCTTATAACACTCCATATTTGCAGATGATAGTGTGATATCTTATTAAGCGTCTAAGGGTGCCCTATGGTATATGTGTGCAGGAAACACATAGAGCTAAAAGCCTTTGTTCCTTCTGTGCATTGATACACATAGCTTGAATAAAGTTTGGTCAGCAGCAGCAATAATGTAGAAGTGATCAGGCAGAGTTTTCAGCATTTTTTTCTTTGCTGAAATGCTAGAAATGTCTCAGTGATGCTGACTTTTAAAACCCAGAATCAAACACTCAACTTAGAAACACTCATTTTCTTCTGTGTGTTTTAAACTGGCTCTTTGAGATAGGTGTTTAAGCTCAAGAAACTCCTGTGCTTATCTGTATAATAAAGTTAATATTTATGCCAGATATACATTATTGTGAATACTAAAAATATAACACACTTTAACAACCCACTATTATATACAAACTTATTTAGCACATATAAAAATTCTATATGACTTGTTTATATAAGGAGACTGATGACTCCAGAGCCTGAGATCAGGCTGATTTCAAATGCCCTGTGAATGTGTAGTAATATGAGAAAGAACTGGATGGCAATCACAATAAATTCTATGCAGTACTCTGCGTGTTACTTCCCCTTATTTTTTTCAATCTTCCCATGCCAAGTATATAGAAGAAAAGAACATCTGTTGTTTTCTTTTTCTTCGCTATCTATTCCACACCTATTTCAACTATGTTAATGTCTGGATATGCCTTCTCAGTGATATAGTGTAGGTCAGTCATAGGATGATAGATGTATTCTATACATCTACAATCTTATTGTCAATCAATATCAATATTGCCAATCAATGTTTAGTTCTCTTGATCCTACCACATATTATGTTTTTCTGACATTAACTAGCTCCCTCCTGTATTCAGAAAGCTGAAAGCTCAGCACAAAGTTTCATGAGCTGCTTCTTCTAACTGACATTTGACTCTGGGGGAATAACACATGAGGCAAGTGTAGTTAATTTGGAAAGTAAACTGCCAGGGAGACCAGATGCATCACCAAAGGTAGTGTGTTATCAACATTTGTCCAAATCTGAGTATAAATTCAGACCTTTGGGATTATAGTTATTTACAGCTTTCACAGACCTATTAATTCTTTCAATGTCACTAAGTTTATAGTTGGTCCTTTCGAACCACATATTATAGAGGCATGGGCAAAAATAGATGTTTGCTGGGATCTAAATTCTTAGGTTAGCTTTCTCGAGGATTTAAAAGTGCACTTTAAAGCATTTTTGTGAGCTGGTGTAGAGTTGTTAAAATAAGCATTTAAATTCCTACCATGTGTTCATAAGGCATAAAGATGTACTGAGTATTTGAAATGCACTGTGAGGTTGAGATTCCTAAAACATTTTCAGAGCCTTTGGACATGTTTGATTTGCTGCTTTGTCATTTTCTGTATTTTATTCAGATGTTGATGCTGAAGACAATATGGCTAAGTGAGTACCGGGGTGGAATTCTTTCTCAGGAAGGCTGAAATTACCAAAGCGACACTAAGATCAGACATTTAGTCAATTCGCCAGTATACCTTGTTATGAAGAAGGTCTCTCCAACCATGTGCTTAGCTAATTATATACTTTACTATTTTATATAGTTCGGTCCTAGACATTTTAGTGTTTTGCAGTGTGGGCTATTTTCACTACTACAAAATGATTTTACCATCCCTTAAGTTTGTTTATGAATTATTTACAAGTACAATTTCATTTGATATCAGGAGGCAAAAATTATAGCAGGTTCAAATGCCATCAGATTTTACTATCACCTTTCTTATTTTTATGATATGCCTCCTTGTTATTATTAAGAAATAACACTGTCTATTCTTGAACTTTTTCAATATTAAGAAAACTCTAGCTTTCAAACATCTGTCATCCTAAAATAGATTGCTTCATCTGAGTCAAGTAAGGTAAGTTGAGACCATGTTATATTCTGTATCATTAAGGAATAAGGATGAAAACTTTATTCTTGTTCTAGTAATTTATATAAAAGTGTACTCTAAATTATTACTTAATAATGCCAAACATGAAGTAATTATATGACTTTACTTTATACTGCCAAACATGAACCTACAAAGTAGGGGTGCACACTGCTCAGGAAGGTGATTCTATCGTACAACTAGTTTAATGTTTTTCAGTAATCAATAGTTGAAATCCAAAATTATCTGGTCATGAAAAAATCAGTGTGCATGACAGCTTCTGTATTTCAAAAGTAATCACACAAAGGAAAATTTCATAAAAAGAAAACAACAACCTTGAGCTAATGGTCATTGTGATCCTTCCCATCACCTATTACATAATCTTATTTTTGAATTATGTAATGAAAATTCCGTTTAAAATGAGAAAAAAGAGGCTTTAAAAGATGAAAACATTACCTCAAGTATCACAATGGTGATAATAAACATTACCCAATATTTCTGCATTTCTCCTATTATGCTATTCAGTGATTGCCTGATATGAATTATTTATCAATTATGACTTTGGTTTTCATATAGAATCATTCATGAGTATCTCTGTATTCAAATGTTATTTTTATGACAGTAATTCTACTCAACTTACCTTTCCCATTCCTCCTTTTCCAGTTCCTATGTTACAGACCATGAATTTACTCCCCAACGATTAAGGAAAGTCATTTTCAGAGTTTCATAGATTAAATGTCAATGATGATCCAGAAAATTTGCAAGATTCTTGGTTTAACCAATATGCCTTTTTATAAAATTGAAAATAAATTCTTTGAACAGTTTTAGAATCAAGAATCCTAGAGTACATGGGCATTTTAACATCCTTATCTTTCCATATATCTAAATACTCAGAAAGGAAATGGGTGATTCTGGTACTCCAACATCTGGCATATTGTTTTCTACTCAGATGAAGGTTCAAAGTATTCATTTTATTGCTGTCTTCCATGACATCCTTTTGCCATCCCTGTAGGTTCTCTCTTAATTTTCACCCTCAGAGTGAGGGAGAATAATAATAATTATTTTTTATAATCTCAGTGTGTTATTTTCTAATCCTGACATGTTAGACCTTCTTGATCTGTGTCTCTTCTGTTTTAATCCCGAGATTCAGCTTTGTCAAGTGATTTCTGCCCATACATTGTCCACATCTACTTATGCAATGATGTTCTTTACATGAAATAATTTTAGATAAATAGATGCATCTACAAATTTAACATTAAACCATCACATTAGCAAAGAATCAGCACCAGTTGCAACTGAGTGAAGAGAGGTCTTTTGTGCCCATTCCTCTAAAGTTAGCCAAGATTAATTGTTAATCAATGTATGACTATAGTTCTCAATTAAAAATAGGACAAACAAGTTATTTAAAATAAAATATACTTCTTAGAGTCCTGACTGCTCTTACATGTCACCTATAAGTTTTTTTGGCAACCAGAATAGCCTCCTCTCTATGAAACATATGCATATTTATTTTGAGAGTCACTAGAATTGATGTTCTCTATATAACTGGATTACAAGTAATTTTTTCTTATTTCTAATTAATACTTGGGTGCTAGGATGACTATAGCATCCACTCCAGACTAAAGTAGAAGTATAATATCTTTTGTAGCCCTGGTGGGGAAAATAATTCCTCATTACTGACTAAACTATCCACTAGTATCCTTAACTCACTTGATTTAATAAGTCCTTAGGATCACTTATCACATACAAAATAGAAAATGTTTCATTGTTTCATTCCTTTACCTTTGCAGTAGATATCACTAATAGCTGACAATAAAGCTTCCTAAATTCACCATTTGTATTGCCTTTACTGACTGATATTAGTTCCCATAGATCATATAAAGTTACTGAAATCTAGAAAAAGCCATAAGATGGATACTGTATACATAACTGGGCAATGCAATGATTTTATTTATTCCTTAATGATTTCCACAATAAACCTTAATGAAAATACAAACATGTCACATTTTTAAAGCATAAAATGTAAATAGGAGAAATGATAAATTAACCCTCAGTTTTCATAATTACAGTCATTAGTTCTCACATTCCTTTGCTATATGGTTTTTATCCATACTATGTCTTTTAATATAACAGCAACTATATTATTTCACATAATCCATTGGCAATACTTCACTACATATTACAAGATGAGTTGTACACTATTCACATTCAACATTCATATCGGAAAGCTTAATCATATTTGTATTTACTTAGGACTCATGCAGGAAATTTAGCCCATTATCACTAGAAAAAGTAAAGCTGAGCGTATGTATTAGGCACACATATTTAAATATATGAAAAGGCATTATTATTAAAAGATAATCTTTACTATACAACATAATCTCATATAATAAATAAGTTTTCAAAATAATACTTCATTACTTAAAATCATTGCTGATTTAATTGAATGAAATATATAGTGTTTTTCATTATATTTTCCATAAAATTTTATGAGAAAATAAAAAAGAAAACTAAGGTCATTTTAATAAGTCAGTATAATTTATCACAAAACATCCATGCTATTATATTTTTGGTAAATTTCTCATCATGATGTTTATGCTGTACTTCTTCTAAATTTTCCAAATTTGTGTTTTATTTTTTCAGATAAATACTTGTGTAGTATATACTACTTCAAAGTATGGAAAACCAGAGAAATATCTCAGAATTCATTCTTCTGGGACTTTCTTCCAACAAGAAAATACAAATATTTTGCTTTGTGCTCTTCTTATTCTGTTACGTTGCTCTGTTGGTTGGAAATTTTGTGATCCTTGTCTCCATTCGTTGCAGTCCTCTTTTTGAACAACCAATGTATTATTTCCTCATTCACTTGGCCACCATGGATATCTGCTATACCTCCACTGTCACACCCAAGTTAATTGCTGACCTGATGATGGAGATAAAGACTATTTCCTATGATATCTGCATGTTGCAGGTATTTGCCATGCACTTCTTTGGAAGCACTGAGGTCTTCATTCTTACCGCCATGGCTTATGATCGCTATTTTGCCATCTGCAAACCTCTCCATTACATGATTATCATGAATAGAACAAGATGCAATCTCCTGGTATTAGCTGCTTGGGTGGGTGGAGCTGTCCATTCATTTCCTCAATTTTCCATGGTTATTCAGCTGCCTTTCTGTGGTCCTAATGAAATTGATCACTATTTTTGTGACATCCTCCCAATCCTCAGAGTTGCCTGTACTGATACCTACATCACTGGTGTTCTTGTAATTGCCAATTCAGGGTTAGTTGCCCTGGTTACCTTTATTGTTTTATTTTTTTCTTATGTTGTCATATTGTTCACCTTAAGAAATCAGTCATCTGAGGGAAGACGCAAAGCCCTTTCCACTTGTGGGTCTCATATTACTGTGGTCATCTTATTTTTTGGTCCTTCCATTTTTGCCTACCTTAGACCTCCAACTACTTACTCTGAGGATAAAGTATTTGCACTGTTTTATACTATTATTGCTCCCATGTTCAATCCCTTAATCTACACACTGAGAAATACAGAGATGAAAAATGCCATGAGAAAAGTTTGGTGTCAAACACTATTTTCCAAAGAATCACACAATTAATTTGAAGATAGTTAAGGAACCATATAAAAGTAATAGGTGATGTGAATGAATAGATTAAACAATATCTCATAGATTTTCTATTCCATCACTGTTTTGTGTAGAATGAATTAGAGTTTGGAATTAGCAATATAAAGTAACAATTTATACACTTATTCTTTAAATACCCACATTAAATGAATGCTTAGAATTTTTTTTTTGTAACAGCAAGTATGTATTAACCTATTTATAGGATTACTGATGACACACACACACACATCCCTGAGCTGAAGTTAATATGCAATATTTGATGGTGAGTCTGTTTTGAATGAAATATTTTTTAAACAAAAATTATGTTTAAATCTCTGGGATTATTGGCTAGACCACATGTAACACACATTCCTTGGAATTAGAAAAGTTGAAGCTTAAAATTAAATTAATATCTTTAAATTTCTCATCGAGTATTCACATAAACATCCTTTAGTGGCATGTGGAAATCTTTGTGCTACAAAGTAATCAGTACAGTAGAATTTGTTTTAAAGTGGTTCCTGTTGTTCAGCATACCTGAGCTCCTTGAAATAAACCACACTACCTAGTGAAGAAAGAACAAAACCAAAAATTCATGATACTGAAAATATAATTTAAAATTTGACCAGAATTTACAATATTCCTGTAAAACTCAAGATTGAGACTAAGTATATATTCACTTACAACTTTATGCTTGAAGTTGTTAAATAAATGAATAGGCCTTGAATCCAGACCCAACAAGAGCATTTTTTTGCTGCACCTGAATATTTACAGCAACTTTTTTCATCATTGACAAAATTTGATGCCAATGAAGACATCCTAGGTAGTTGAAATGATCAACTGTGCTTCAGCCAGACAAGTAATATTACTCAGCCAGAAAACAAAATGAGTTATGAAGTCATGGAAAGGTTGGGGACCACTTCAAATGCTCTAATATGCTAACCTGAAAAGAACACATACTCAGTGATCTCAACCATGCAACTTTGTGGAAAAGTCAAAACAATGGAGACATTGCAGATCTTTCAATGCTAAGGGTTAGTTTGGATGGTTCATAGAGAGAAATGAATATAGTTGTATATAGAGAATTGTAGGTCAGTGAACTTTTGTATGTAACTGCAACAGATAAATGTCTTGATACTTGTCAAAGTCCATAAAATATACCTCACCTTAATGAAAACTAGGAATTTTGAGTAATAATGATGTGTCAATTTAAGTTCCTTTCTTTGTAACAGATGTGACTTTTAGAAGGGGGAATTTGTCCCTGCATCAGGACATGTGGCTATTTGAAAATGTATTATGATGATTTTAACTATGATCTCAAAACTGCTCTGCTAATAGATTTTTAATTAAAAGATAATTTGTGGGGCAGTTGATATAACAAAGCATCTTTGAGAGAGTTGTTGAACCTAAAGGACCTTCTGTGTTCTTATCTCTATATTAAATATTTATGACAAAAATGCAACATTATATGCACAAAATAATATAATAAACTTTAACCACCCACTCTCCTCAATACATTTTGGTTATTATTTACAAAATAGTTTGACCTCAGCCAGATTTGATACTATAAAATTTGTTTTCCTGATGTTTTACTAAACACATTAACAAGTAGATAGGGAGATTAAGTTAATTCAATGCCTACAGTTGTGACTGATTCCAAATGCCCTGTGAATATGGAATAGGAGGGAGAAATGAATAGAAATCAGGGTAAATACAATGCAGTACTCTGAGGTCTTCCTTCTGCTTATTTTATTCATGGTGTTTTTTTTTTTCCCCCAAATTTCTTCCCAGCCATGTTTATATAGAGAAAATATTTTGCTCTGTATTCCAAACTATTGCTCTGTATTCCAAAACTATTGTTTTTAACAATGTTGGTCTGTAGCTGTCATGTCATTAATGTTGCGAATCATTGATTTTATTGATTTATGTATTCTGCATATCAAGGATCTTAATAGTGGTCCATACTTGGAGTGTTGGTGGTTTGTTCCCTTTATCCGACCAAGTATTATGTTTTTGTGACATTAACTAATTCCCCTCTGTATTGCTGGAGTTCTAAGGACAGGATTTCATGAGCTACTCCTTTTAACTGATATTTGGACTCTAGGGAAATAACACATGATGTAAGATGAAGTTAATATGAAAAATAAACTGCCAGGGAAGCCAGGGGCATCACTAAGGTTAGTGGGTTAACTTTTGAGTTGAATCTGTGTATAAACAAAGACCTTTGGGATTATGACTTTTTCCAGATTGCAAAGACTTATTAATACTTGCAATGTCACTAAGTTTACATTCTGTACTGATGAACAATATTGAGACATGGGCTAAAATAGATATTTATTAGGACCTAAGTAATTTGTTTAGCTTCCTCAGGAATTTTTTAAAAATCTTGTTTTAAAAACTTTTTTTGTGTGTGTGAGCTGGTGTAGTGTTGTTAATACCAACATTTGAATTCCTACCCTATGTTCTTGGGGCAAAAGATGCATCTCTTGTGCCTCTAATATTTTTAGTGAGTATTTGAAGTGTACTAACCTTATACACTTATGGAAGGATGGGAGAGGTGGAGATTTCTAAAATCTTTCAAAGCAGTTGGACATATTTTACTTGCTGCTTTGTAACTCTCTGCATTTTATTCAGATTCTGATGCTAATGACAAAATGGATTAGTGTGTATCCTAAGGAATTTTTCCTCAGGCTGCCTGAAATTACCAGACAGACACTCAGATCTGATGGTTAGTCAATAAACAATAACACCTTGGTATGGGGAGGGTTTCTCCAACCATGTGTTTGCTTTCTCCAACCATGTGTCAGTCAAGAGGTTTTATGTCTTTTGAAGCATATGCTAATTTGATTACTATAAAATGATTACAACTTCTTCAGTTTTAAATATGAATTATTTACAAGAAAAATTCCACAAGAAAACAGAATAATGGATTTAAGTTGTCAGTGAATTTTATTATGACACTTTCCCTTGGTGATGTTCATCCTTACCTGTTGCTATTAAGAAATAATACTGTTTATCCTAGAATAGCTACAGACTGAAGACATTCCGTACTTCAAAACACCTGCCATCCTAAAATATATTGCTTCATCTGAGACAAGTGAGGTAAGTTTTTACAATGCTACCTCTGATGCATTAAGAATACATGTAATGGTAATTTTTTCTTACTCTAGTAACTTAACTAAAAGGACATTTGAGATTGTTATTCCTAATACCAGCAATGCAAAGTAAATTGGTTGACTTTATGTTCTACTGCAAATTAATGTGTTATTGAATTGGGTAACAAACACCACAAAGAATCAACTTATCATCCAATTAGCTTAATGTTTTCAGTAATTGATAATTGAGGTTCAATTTTACCTTGTCACAGTTATTAAATTCATTCTGTGAATCTCTTTGCTCTTTATCTTAATTTTTTCATTAGATTTGATTTTTAAAAAATGTGCACAGCAGTTTCTGTGGTTCTAAACAAATCACTCAAAGTAAAAAAGCTACAAAAAATTTTAAAAAATGACTGCCTTGACATCACATGTGACTGGGGTATTTTCTACTACTTATTACATAATCTTAACTATGTAATGATTAAGAATGATGTATATATAAATGAGAGAAATGAGGCTAGAAGATATGAAACTACTAGCTCACTTATCACACTGGTTATTATAAACACTAAATAATATTTTGGTGTCATTCTATTCTGTTCAGTAATTGCATGGTATTTATTATTTATCAATTATGACTTCAGTTTTCATGAATATCTTTGTTCAAATGATATATTTATAATAGTAATTCTCTTCATTCATTGTTCCCTTATCCATTTTACCTCTTCTGATGACACTGATAATGTATGGAGGCCCCATAGATTAGAGATGTCATTTTCAGAGTTTTTATAGATTAAATATCAATGATGATTTAGAAAATTGTCATGAAATCTAGCTAACCAATATACATAATATAATTAATTAATTTCAATATATATTGAAATTATAGTTAATTTCAATATAAAATTGAAATTAAACTATTTGAACAGATTTAGAATCAAGAATTCTAGAGTACTTGGGCATTTTAACAATTCCATATATGTTCACATATTTAAATACTCAGAAAGAAAACTGGGTTTTCTGGTCCTCTGACATCTGGCATATTGTTTTCTACTCAGAAGAGGGTTGAAAATAGTATTTTTTATTGTTGTCCCTGTGACATCTTTGTGCCATCTCTCTCAGTTTGCTTTTAAGAAATTTACCACCAGTGTGAGGGAGAACAAGAATTACTATCTTCTGTAATCTCATTGTGTTACTTTCTGATCTTGAGATATTGTTTATACTCTCTTGATCTGTATCTCTTCTGTTTTAAAATAGAGATTCAGCTTAATCAGGTGATGTCTCCCCTTATATTGTTCACATCTACTATGCTCTTTATATCATTTTAGAAAAATAGTGTATCTACAAATCTAACATTAAATCATCAAAGAATCAGTACCAGTTGTAATTGAGTAAAGATAGATTAATTACAACCACTCCCAAAATAGTCAAGATTAACTGTTAAACACTGCATAACTATAGTTGTTCTCATATCAAAGTAGGGCAAACTAATAATTTCTCCATTGAGAAATTAGAATTTTAAATAGTCATTTAAAATAGGATACACTTCCTACAATAGTAGGAATAGTAACTACTTCTATATGCCTACCTATTATTTGGCAACTACAATAGATTCTGTCTGTAAAGTATATGGATATTTATTTTTGGAATTACTAGAGTTGATGGCTTCTATATAACCTAATTACAAAAAGTCTTGTTTTTCTAACAGACACCTGCATACCCATAATACTTTCACATCCATCCAAACTAAGGTAGTGGTGTAACAGCTTTTATGACTCTGGTGTGGACAGAAACTTCCTCATTATTGATCAAAATATCTCCTGCACATGGATGCTCTCTTTCCTAACTCACTCTGCATTGATTCACTAATGTCTTAATATTACACATTACATGCAACAGAGAATATATGTGATTGTTTCACTTATCTTTGAAACGAAAAATAATTTTACATATAATAAAGTTTACCTAATGTTACTCTATGTATTTTCTTCTCTCATTGACAATAGTCCCATAAATTATATATAAGACAGGAACTTCTAGGAAAAGCTATAAAATGGGTAATTTAAACATACTTGGGCAACATACCAATTTTATCTATTCTTAATGATTTCCATCATGACTATAAATAGTAACATATACACAAAGAAAGTTGTAAAGCATGAAGTGTGAAAGAAGCAATGAAAAATGTACTATTAAGTTTTCATAATTCCAGTCCTTAACTCAATTATTTAGCTTATGTTTTTAACCATTGTATACATTTTAATATAACATTAATTATACTATTTAGCATAATCCATTGGCAATGCTTGACTACATATTAAAAAAAAAGTATGCTCTACACAAATTAAATTCAGCATTCATATTTGATGTTTAATGATATTTGTATTTCTTAAGGTTATATTCCAGGAAATTTAGCCTCATAGCATTACAAAAGAAAAGTTGAACTTGTGTATTATGTACACACATTTACAATATATGAGAAAACATACTTCACTTACCATTAAAAAAAACTGTTATGCAATTACATAACCGAATTAATACATGTTTTCAAATTATCACTTCTATACTTGTAATCATTATGATATAATTGAATAAATATATATTATCTATCCCATTATAAAATTTTCCCCAAAGATTTAGGAGACAATACATAAGAGAAATTTATACTTTTATAAACATTTTTCTATCAAAGTATCCATGTTAACCTATTTTATCACAAATTGTACATCATTGCTTTCATATTGTAAATTGTGATACATTTTCCAAGTTTATGCTTTTTTATTTATTTCAGATAAATAATTTATTTATATATAACACACAACAAATTCAAGGGCATGGAAAGTGAGAGGAACATCTCGGAATTTGTTCTTCTAGGACTTTCTTATGACAAGAACATACAAACTTTTTGCTTTGTGCTCTTCTTACTCTGTTATGTTGCCCTCTTGGTAGGAAATCTTGTGATTCTCGTCTCCATTCGCAGCAGTCCTCTTTTTGACCAACCAATGTACTATTTCCTCATCCACTTGTCGACCATGGACATCTGCTATACCTCCACTGTCACACCCAAGTTAATTGCTGACCTGATGGTGGAAAGAAAGACCATTTCCTATGATATCTGCATGTTGCAGGTATTTGCTGTGCACTTCTTTGGGGGCATTGAGATTTTCATTCTTACTGCCATGGCTTATGATCGCTATGTTGCCATCTGCAAACCTCTCCAATACATGATTATCATGAACAGGACAAGATGTGATCTACTGGTTTTAGGTGCCTGGGTGGGTGGAGCTGCCCATTCCTTTCCTCAATTATTTATGGCAATCCATCTGCCTTTCTGTGGTCTTAATGAAATTGATCACTATTTTTGTGATATTCTCCCAATCCTTAAAATTGCCTGTACTGATACTTACATCACTGGCGTTCTTGTAATTGCCAATTCAGGGTTGGTTTCCCTGGTTACTTTTATAGTCTTATTTTGTTCTTATGTTGTCATATTGCTCACCTTAAGAAATCAGTCAGCAGAGGGAAGACGCAAAGCCCTCTCTACCTGTGCATCTCATATCACTGTTGTCCTCTTATTTTTTGGTCCTTCAATTTTTGTCTACCTTAGACCTCCGACTACTTACTCTGAGGATAAAGTATTTGCACTATTTTATACTATCATTGCTCCCATGTTCAATCCCTTAATCTATACACTGAGAAATACAGAGATGAAAAATGCCATGAGAAAAGTTTGGTGTCAAACACTATTTTCTAAGAAAGAATACCATTAATTTGAATACACTTACAGTTAAACAGCCATGTAAAATAAAGGGCTTGATGTGAATGAAAAGAGTAACAAATAGCTTATAGATTTTATTTTCCATGACCTTGAACAGAATGAGTGATATATTTGGAATTAGCAATTTGACATTAAAACTAAACAAAAAGAAGTTAAGTGGATGTTAAGTAATTTTTGGACTGATACGCTTATGCATTAATCCTTTTACAAGTTACTTACAGCAATTCTGTCTGTCTCTCTTTCTCTCTCTCTCTCTCTTGCATACACACACACTCACACAAATCTGGATCAAAGCTAATACAGCAATAATATAATGAGTTAGCTTTGAAGAAAAATTTTCAAATTATAATTCTGTAACAAGCTCTGAACTTATTAGCAGAACCAACTTGTGACACAAATTCTATGGTATTCGATAACTTGAAATCTAAAATTAAAATATTTTTAAATTTCCCATAAACCATTCACAAAAACATCCATTAATGTCATTTAGAAATAATTTTTACTATAAAGCAATAACTAAAGTAGAATCTTCTTAAAATTGTTCCTGTGGGTCAGCATTTTTTATCTCTTTGAAGTAAACAATAATAAGTAGTGAAGAAAGAACAATGTCATTAATTCATGACGTTGAAAACACAATGGCTTCCATTCACCTATGAATAGAATGTTTAAAAATCCCCATAAAGGCCCTCGCAATGGCACAACAGTTTAGGACACAACACTGCAAGCTGTCCGCAGCCACTTCAGTGCAAGTTCAATCCCCACCCCGGAGGTGACCCACATGACACAGCAGACCTCTCCTGTCTCTCCTGCTGCTCCCCTCAGCAGTGTACTTCCTTGATCTGCCTGTTCTGCTCCCCACTCCGTCTCTGGTGAAGTCTCTCACTGCCCCTGCACCTCTGGCTTGTACTCCAGTTCTGTATGCATAAATAAATCATAAATCTTTTTTAAAAATCCCATAAAATTAATAAACTGAATAACTAAAAGTAGGTCTTCACTGACTACTAACTGCCTGAAGTTGATACGTAAATTATTGGTGTTTACATGGAGACCTAACCAACCACATTTGCTGCAAGTGAATGTTTACAGCAACTTTATTCATAATAGACAAACTGCAAAGTCAATGAAGCATCTTTCCTTAAGTGAATGATCAACTGTGTTTCTCCAAAGAGAATATTATTCAGCTTGAGAATGAAATGAGTTATGAAGTCATGGAAAGGTATGAGGGCAACTTCTTGTACTTTACTATGCAAAAGAAGACAAACTCAAAGATCATCTTAATCATGCAACACTGTAGAAAAGTGAAAACATTGAAGACATGGAAAAGGTCTTCATATACCAAGGCTGATAGGGGCCATGAATTGTTGAATAGAGAGGACTTTTATGCCATTAAAAACTTTTGTATGTAGCTACAGCTCTACAAACCTGTCGTATTGATTTTTGTCAAAGTCCATAAAATATCCAGCACCAAAGTGAACCTAATGAAAACTAGAAGTTTTGTCTGGTAATGATGTGTCTATTTAAGTTGATTTCATTGTCAAATGTGTTTTGGGCATGTAGAATTTGCTCGTTGTGTCAGGGCTAGGGGGTATTTGAGAAATCCATTCTGCACATTTTAACTATGATCTCAAAACTTCTCTGAAAGTACTTATTCAATTTAAAAATGATTTGTGGCATAATAAATACTCTCATCACTGGAATGAAAATTAGAATTCTGAGAAAGATTTTCTAGTGAAATGAAAAGAACATTTTATAAAAGAACTTTTTACATGCTATGAAATCACTTAAAATCTTCTTAAAAATCTACAGAGACCCCCAAAAATATCACTGAAGATACTGCATATCAGGATTTTATGAAAAGGGAGATAACTTAACCACTAAAAGGGTTTTGAAATATGTAAATGCATGATAACACTGCTTTTCAGTAAGTGTACAAGAGGGGATTAAAAATAGAAAAATAGAAAATAAGAATTTACAAGAGATTAATTGTACAAATTATATATTAATAGGAACTAAAAAAGAAACAATTTAGATATATTACATGTTTAATTACTTAGCTGATATGAAGCTGTTACTAAAATTGGAATAGAAGTCCAATAAATTTGTTTAATAAAACAATAAATTTGTTTTAAAGAACTCTTTCCAAAGGTGGCTATTTGTTTTCATTATCATGTTTTCTGAACAATATGTTGTTCTATTTTATCACATGTTTAGTGGTCAAAATTGTGTAGAGACCCCTTGATATAAATCTAAACACAAAATCACTTTTTATGACTTTAGCTTTGTATAAAACAAAAAATTTGTCATAGAAATCCTTTAGTATTTTTCACAGTGGCTGATATGTTTAATGAGTTGAGCATTTTCTTTTTTAAATTAAATTAAATTTAAATTATTATAACTGACATATAATACTATAGTACCATCAGGTGTACATCAATTACACCTGCATAATTATTTGCCATAAGCATTTCATCAGGGAATGATGATCATGATCACTATAGTTAACATCCATCCTCAAATGTTTACACAATATTCCTGTGATAAGGATTTTAAGATTTACCCTCTAAGTAACTGTCAAATATAAAATATAGTATTACTAACATTTGTCACCATGTTGTCAATGCCCTTCCAGGACTTAATTACTTACCTTTGTTTCTCCATCACTTATTTTGCCTACTTCCCCTGCTGTTACAGCCACCTGTCTGTCTAACTACATATTTATTGTTAAGACTGAACATATCAGTGAGATATGGTCTTTGTCTTTCTCTGCTCTTGTGGCCCATCCTTGTTGTTGCAAATGGCAGGATTTCTGTCTGTCCTTAAAAATGAACATCCCAGGGCCCTCCCTGATGGTGCAAAGGGTTAGTAAACAGCACTGTAAGCTGGCTGCAGCCGCTTCCGTGATGGCCGCAGCCACTTCAATGATTGTTTGGACCCTGGCCCCAGAGGTGATCCACATGGCGCAGCAGATCTCTCCTGTCTCGCCTGTTGATTCCCTCAGCAGTGTATTTCAGTAGATGTGCCTGCTTTTCTCCCTACTCTGTCTCTGGTGAAGCCTCTCACTGCCCCTGCAGCTCTGGCCTGTACCCCCCTTTCTTTATGTATAAATAAATAATTATTTTTTAAAAAAATGAACGTTCCTGTTTGTGTGTGTTCACCTACTCATCTGTCAGGACACACTGAATTTGCTGGCTAGGTGTGGCTATTATCGATAAAGCTGCAATGAGCATGGGGTTGTATCTATTGTTTCAAAACACTGACAGTATTTATGTTCCCTTTATGTACCATCAACCATTGCAAAATATTATGTTACATTTAGTACTGTTTTTTTGTGTATATCATCATCGCTCCTTTCTTAATCTCTTAATAGCATGATAAAAGATAGACTAATGAAAAATGCCAAGACAAATTTTTATGCCAAACATGAGCTGGTAAACATCTTTAACTAGCTCTGGATCTGGTCAGTTTACATGCAAGATGCCATGAGAACACATCAAGACTAGTGAATGTAGCAACTAAAATCTTTGTCATGGAAGTCATCCGGTATTCGGAGACTTCAAAATAAATAGGTGTAGAATATCCAACTCCTCTCATCTCCTTCTTTTCCCCTAGGGTGTTTTTACTTTTTAATTGTCGCCACTACTTGGGAACTTAAAAAGTGCAGTGTTAGAAGCTTCGTCTAGGGGGCCTTCACTGGTTAATTGTGATTTCTCTTTATCTTGGGCAAGCCTTGTTAGTTACTGTCGCAGTAGTATATTTTTCATCTTTGAAGATATGAACTCTTGCACCTATTTTAGCTTTTTCCTTTAATGAGAACAATAAAAAAAGATGAAGTGAAACTTTGGAGAGTAAATTCCTAACAACTTGCAAAGTGAAAACAGTTGTCTGCGCTCTCCAATTGAGTATTACTTACTACCCTCTAAAATAAAGTATTAATGTTTTTCTGAGTTTTCAATAGTTTGGTTACAAAACACATGAAAACATGCATTGCACTAACATTGAATCTAACATCTAGCACATGCATTGAATCTAACATCTAGCACATGTTTTAGAGACAGATAAACTACCAGTATATAAAGCCAGAAAAAACTAGGCAGAATAGAAAGTAACTAGAATATTTGCACTCTGAAGAGTCCTGTGTTATTTGAGTTATTGGAGACTTCCATAAATTAATTTGTACCCATAAAATTCCATACATTGTTTATATTAAGTAATAATTTTGTTATATGCCTAGGTTCTTGGGAATACAATGAGATATGATATCTTCTCATTTCCTGAGAACTTTGGCTCAATTTTTCATGTGTGGTATGTCTATTATCAATGCTAATTTTTATGCAAAGTAGTGTTGACACATTTTGACAGATTTTCAGTGGAACAGGATATAAAAATGTGGTACAATGATCTGGAGACAAAATTGCATATTCCTAAAAACTACTGTTTCTACTTCAACTCTTCAATCAAGATTAGTACAGATGGGTGAACTCAGTGTAAAGGAATAATTCAGAAAGAATGTGCTGGTGTGGGCATGTTAACCAAGAAATGTCGATGGAAACCAGACAGAAAATTTCAGAAAAGATGAAGGTGGTTCTTTCCTGTACTCCGTGTTATACTGCAGAGGCCACAGTGAGAAGCATTGTAGTCCTTGAATGACTTGTCCTTCTTCAGTTAAGTCAAGGTGGCATTCCAGCCTTAGTTTTCATCTGAAATAGCTCTCTTACCACACAGTTTCTTAATGGCATCTTTCATCTGTGCATTTCGCAAGGTGTAGATTAAGGGATTTAGCATGGGAGTTATTGCAGTGTAGAATACAGCAACAGCTTTATCAATGGGGAAAGTAACAGCAGGTCTTAGGTACATAAATGTGCAGGGCACAAAGAACAAGATGACCACCGTGATGTGGGAGATACAGGTGGAGAGGGCTTTGCGCCTTGCCTCTAAACTGTGGTTTTTTAGGGAGTGCAGAATACTCACATAGGAGACCATCAGGAGGAGGAAATTTAGCAAGCAGATAAAACCGCTATTGGCAGAAACAAAGAGTCCTAGAATGTGTGTATCAGTGCAGGCCAGATTGAGCAAAGGGCTTAAGTCACACAAAAAATGATCTATGATGTTGGGACCACAGAAGGGCAGTGGCAAGATGAAGAGGATCTGTATGGTTGAGTGAAGAAAGCCTCCCGCCCATACCACACCCACGAGCAGACCACATAAACGCCAGTTCATGATGACCTTGTAGTGCAGGGGTTTGCAGATGGCCACGTAGCGGTCATAGGCCATCACAGTGAGCAGGATGATCTCAGCGCCTCCAAAGAAATGTTCTGCAAATATTTGAATCATACACTCATAGAATCGTATGGTCTTTTTTTCATAAAGTGAATCTGCAATAAGTTTGGGGGTGTTGATAGAGCAATAACAGGCATCAATGAAGGAGAGATAGGCCAGGAAAAAATACATGGGAGACCCTGACAGTGAGCTGGCAGTGATGGTAAAAACAATGAGCAAATTTCCTACCAATGAGATGATGTAGATGAAAAAAAACACAACAAATATGACCTTCTGCATCTTTGGATTTCCTGTGAGTCCCAGTAGAACAAACTCTGTCACATTGCTCCTAATCTCCATGGGTTTCACGTGATGCTTAATTCATTCCCTGAAAAAAAATATCACTTTTTATTGATACAACCATGACTTTTTCCAGTTTAGCCATTCTAATAAATATTAAATGTCTGATTCTATTAAATGTGAATGTGAGGGTATTTTTTAAAGATTTATTTATGCATACAAAACTGGGGTACAGGCCAGGGGTGCAGGAGTGGTGAGAGGATTCACCAGAGACAGAGTGGGGAGCAGAACAGTTCGATTGATGAAGTACCCTACTGAGGGGAGCAACGGGCGGGTCAGGAGAGGTCTGGTGCTCCATGTGGGTCACCTCTTGGGCGTGATCAAACTCATACTGAAGTAGCTGCAACTGGCTTGCAGTATTGTGCTTTAAGCTGTTGTGCCACCATTGAGGGTCTTAGGGCTTTTATTTTTTTCTTCGAGAGAAAAAGTTTCTGTTTCTTGGATATTACTCAAATGATTTCACTATTAAGAATCTTTTATAGTGGAGACTTAGGGTATTTTGTAAACAGTAGTTTAAGAAAGTCATGTACTTGACCAAATAAGCTTAAGTGACTGAAAGTCTATCTTGAATTAGAATATGTATAAATACTAGCAATTACACTGGAGAAAAGTGTAGAACAATGAGTAGAGAATAAATACAAAACAAAAGAATTTCCCCTTTTCCTTGGAAAATGGGGAAAAAAAGGAAGGTAATTGAGAATATGAGTAAATGATAAAGCAAAAATTGAGGAAGGGAAATCTTGGCTTTGACTCTGTAAGATGTCTGTGTGTCTTGGATGAAGTAGGCTGAAGTTCAGTATGGAGTAATGGGCTGAAGTTCAAAAGACAGATCTAGGAAGCCTAGTAGGATTATTCAGAGTCAGCATGCCGTGCTAACACAAGACACTGAGATGGTAATGTAAAGAAATTACATAGGCGTTTTTATAAAAGCATACAAAGTGTTTGTTGCATAAATGCAAGAACTTTACAATAGCTAATAATTATTATTTTAATGATCAATTGCTATGTTTAAAGTAGCAAGTTTTATGCACATACCAACCTGTGCTGTTGGTATAATTAAATCTACTTTGCAGAAAAAGTTTGAGCCTCAGTCTATGTGGATAATGTTAACAGCAATGATAATATTGCATCTCTCTCTCTATCTATCTATCTATTGGTTTTTTTAAGTGAATTTAGACATTTCCTAATTTAATCTTCACTGCAAATTTATGATTTACACCATTATTTTGAACTTATTTTAGACATTATGAGATAAAAACAGAAAAGTTAAGAATTGTGGTCAGTATCAAGTGAGTTAAGGACAGATTCAAGGTTTAGTCAGATTATTCTTACATATTTTACCTCCAAATGCTTTCTCATACACTTTTGTTATTATTATCAATGTCAAATGTGTAATCTCCTTTTAATATGATGAATAATGTAATTATTTTATCACAACTTCACATACAAGAGCATATGAGACAATTTATCAGCAAGCACACATGCGATTGCATGTTCAAAGCCCTATATCTCAAATACAACAATGCATAACATTTATTGAAATGTATTGATAACTTGGTTTCTTTTCCAAATCCAGGTCTCCAAAGTCAAGTCTCCTTACAAACTATGAGTCCTGAAACACTGTAAAATGTTGTAAATTAATTCAATGGTGACTAAGTATATTATAGAATCAGAACATCTAGGCTAGATTTCTGGTCCTTCCACTTGCAACTTATTTTATGTGGGTATGTTGCTGGCACTGTGCCTATTTGTTTCTTTATCTAAAACAGGGATACTAATAAGACCATATAAGCTTTTAGGAAATTAGTTATGAAAGTGTATGTGAACACACCAATCACACTGTTCTAGGCACACACAACATTTTCATCATTTTTTTTGTGAATGCCCATAGGATAGGATGTAGGGGAATTGGCATTTTGATCAATAATATAGAGAAACATTTTACCATGTTAGGAGCTAATGAAGCATCATATCTAATTTTTGTTAAAGATTTCAAGGAGCTTCATTTTATCCACAGCAAGCACTCCAACAAAAGAAACTGTGATTTCACTATACTGCTGACAGTTGATGTTAATATTCATACTTATATTTTTTTCTATGTTCAATTTTATTTAATTCATGTTTCATTCTCACAATGAACCTTGATTGTTAAAGGAGATATTTCCTTGCAAAAACATGGTGTAAGAGACAGGTCCTTATAATTAATCTTTAGAAGTATTAAGATTTTTCATCGGTCTGATGAGGTCAATGCTACCACTCTTTGGAAGAATTGGGTGAGATCAAAATGTACTATTAGCATAGTGGAAAAGGCTACAAACATGATGGTGATTATATATGAGATATAATAATATTTAATAAGCAAAAGCATTATTGTGAAGCTTACCTTACAGTTTTAAGTTCCCTTAGTGATGTCTGGGGATGTTTAGAACAAAGTCATCTTCAATGTGACATTCTCTTGTAGTAAGTTAAGTCACTTTCAGTATGAAAGATATGACACTCAAAAAGAAACTACCTTTGAGCTATTATACAATAAACATTTGCTATTTGCTTTTATGTCTCAGTCTTTCCTTTATCATAAAATCTTAATGTTTCATAAAAGACCTGGAATATGCACTTAAAAGTGATTCATTTGAAACACAATAGAAAAATGATCTTCTACAGATGATTCTGGTCCCACAAGCCAAAAGCAGAAAGAATGGAGGAAATATTCTCACATGTGTCATGTTACTCATGATTATTAGTCCTTTTTTGGAGATGTGATCAGCAAAGTTCTTTACTCTTTGGCCTGCATCAATATTTAAAAGGATTTTTCTAAGGGACCTTGTCTTGTAGTTGCTGATATTTCTCTCTGGAATTAATTATTTGTTTTGATGGAAAGATTTTATCTTAGAAGCAGGTATTCTGGAGAGACAGGTTTAAGGAACACCCATTTTTAAGTGGGGAATTGTATTCCCTATGCTTGGAACCTGAACACATGGATCCTCTTGTCATTACATGAACTTGAGCTTCTCTGGTTTTCCTAGAGCAGCGGTCACCTTCCATTTTAGAAATAATGACATCTGAGGAGTGGAAGATTGAAAATTTTAACAAGACTCATGTTTTTCTTTCTCTTTTTAAAAAAATAATCCATTGTAGATGCAAAGTTGGGTATGGGTTGAGAGGAGGAACACACACAGATAACCGAAAGGAAAGTGGCCAATTTGAGATGTAAACATATGGCCTGAGAATGGGGGTTGGAGAAGGAAAAAATGACTAGTTGATATTCCTTTTTTAGTATCAAGATGTTTAGCTATGATTTTATTGTCAAACTTTCCTCATACGAGTTGATTAACATAAAAAAGTTTTAATACACCTGTCACCTCACAGAATTACTTACTTGGGGATAGGAGGTAGAATATATATCCTCTTAGGCATTCTTCTGATTCTATCATTTTTTTACTTGTATGTTATAAATCTTATTTGCATGTTAAGTTCTAGAACAAGCTGATTTCTTTTACTTTTGGACACAAACACACACACACATATATTAAACAAATTAAGTATAACCATAATTTTCAACAAGTTAATGAAATTAAATTCGTGGTTATATTCTTAGAAAAATGATTTTAAATATTTTCATTCTACTTATTCCAAACAATCTAGAGAAAGGAGATTGTGCTTCTCAAATAAAGAAGCACTTAATGAAGAATGGGTGTAGTCAGGGTTTGTGTGAGACACAATGGGAACACATAAAGATTAGTAAATGTATCAACTGAAATCTGTTATGGAAGTCACCCAGTGACCAAGGACTTGAAACTAATTAGGTGTGGAATATCCAAACTGTTCTTGTCCTTTCTTTTTTTCCTGGAAGTCTGCTTAGCTGTTTCAGCCTCTTGGGAATGTAAGGACAGCATCACCTAGAAACATCCTCTCGGTGACCTTCAGTGATTACCTCATGATTTATTTTCAGCAAAGACTGCCCTTTGACACACATTTGTCCCTGCTTCAGTAACTCTAGTTCTCTATGTTTGGGAGAATCTTTATCAGTACTTTATGTCTTCACAAGCCTTATCATACTCAACTGAATATTAACAAGTGATGTAGGAAGATTTTTAATTTTCAAAAGCTCAAATAATAACAAAAGATGGGATATTCTCCTTGAACTTTTCATTGTGTAATGAATTATTATTCTGCTCATTTGCTCAAAAAATGGTATGAAATACAGAATTACCCGAGAACCAAAAAGTCACCATTGTTTATACTTTCTACATTCATTATTTATATTTTCTACATTTGGTTATCTTAAAGATTTTAGGCAATTAATATTAACTTAGTTCTTTAGAAGTCTTATTAGATAACGCAATTTTAAGGGGAAATAATATGATCTGTGGAAGGAAGTTGGAAAGAATAGACTATTCATAGAAGGGAAAGTTATTATCCAAGATATTTGTACTATTCCCCCGCTGACAGGATATGTTTTCATTGATCTCAGTAGTAACACAGTGTAATAGGAAAGAGCCTAAGGCATTTTCTGTATTCCGGTCATACTTTTCCTTACCTCCATTGTAAAATACAATCCAATTTTCCCTTATTATCAGGGTCAATCATTCAAGCCAGCACAGTAACTCCTTCTTAGCCTATTAATCCAATGGCTTGAAGAGCCGGAAGTGGTTGGGTGGTGTGTTCTTAACTTTCAGATCAATAACACTTTCTTTTGTCTTCTGGTGGAAGCATCCTCCCTATGGAACTATGTCCTCTAGTTCATGAGGTCACAAGTTCATGGAATAGGAAGGGTCACAGTGAGTGTTGTTATCTCTACCTGAAGGGTCACAGTGATTATCTCTGCCGCTAGCTGACAGCACCATGAATACTGACTAGGGAAGAAACACTGCACTATGATGGTGCTGACTCAGGCATACCACCTTGGTAGAGAGATGGAAACCTTTGTCACAGCCCTGAAAGTATCACTGTCTAGCTTAGTGTGACTGAATCTCAAGAGGCCATTTCATCACTCTATCATTGTCCCTGATAAAGAATGATGGGGGATATAGTAAAAGTCATGAGCATGGATCCATTGCTGCCCTGTCTGTGCTGTGAAGTGTGTTTCCTTATGAGGAGTAATGAGTGCAATACCAAGATGTTTGATAAGGCAATCTTCAAGTCTATGGGAGGAGGTTTTGACACAATCTCTGCATAGAGAGAAGGCAAACTGTTCAGAGTGTCTATGCCATCAGGATAAAAGGCTGCTCCTTCATGGAGACAGCACCCATTATGAGTCATCTCTGTGTTGCATTTTCTCAGTTTCCTCATCCACCCAATTCATTAAAACCTGGATTTTATTCATAACTCCACTTTTCCTAATCTTCATTCTTTTCTTATGCTTAAATAATTTCTCCATGTCATTTTTGGCTGCTTAGGTACAGAGCATGAAATGAGAATTTTATCAAAGTGCTTTACAGTGAGAAGGGGTTGAGAGAATATGACTATGGTAGAAGGGAATGTTGTCCCAAAAAATAACTGGATTTAAACTGGAGCCAAGGGACCTCTGTAGTATATGTTATACTACAGAACTGGTTCCATCTGGATGAAAGGGGACCAGTCTCTTTTACCCTTATTACTTTCACTGACACCAGTAGCATTCAATCCTCTTCCATTCATCCACACCAATATAACTACAAAAAAGCTATTAACTTATTTTATCAAACAGACATGTATCAAAATTAATAAACTGTGACTTCCTAATAAATAGAAATTAATGTCTGACAATAAAATTTCTTTAATTTTAGCCATCAATCTTTCTGATGGGTGGGCAGCCTAAGGTGGCATGATGAATAATATCAAACATTCCTAAAGTCTACAAGGAAATTCAGAGAGACGGTATAATACATTGTTACTGAAACCTCAGTGACTCAGAGACCCATTGTTATAACACACTTAAGTATCATAATATAAGAGGCAGCATAATAAAACAATTCTCATATAGAAAATTGAGCAGAATTATTAATAAAATTATAATTTAGGTCTATATTATGAAGTAATAGTTATAGTATACTCAGCAGTCTGTGCTTCAGTAGTTCATAACTATTTTAATTGACTTACTTTTCTATCATCGTTGTTTGAAAGAGTCACATACAACTAACAATGGGTTCTGAGAAATCACTAACTCTTCAACGTATCTACTTTGTGCCTTCACCTTTCATCATTTTTCTCTCTTAAAAGAGATAATAGGCCCTCCCTGGTGGCGCAGCGGGTTAAAGCACTGCACTTAGAAGCTAAAGCCACTTTCACATGAGATCGAATCCCTCCTGCCCCGGAGGGGACTACATGGCGTGGCAGACCTCTCCTGACCCGCCCGCTGCTCCCCTCAGCAGTGTGCTTCGTCGATCTGCCTGTTCTGCTCCCCACTCTGTCTCTGGTGAAGCCTCTCACCGCCCCTGGGCCTCTGGCCTGTACCCCCGTTCTGTATATACAAATAAATAAATCTTTAAATAAAATTTAAAAAAAAATTTAAAAAAAGAGATAATAGCAGTGCTTAAATCTTTAAATTACTATAAATATTATTGCTGAAAAATCAATACATTTTATTGTTTATTATAGTTGAAGAAAAACAATGCTTTCATATACATGGAAGACCCAGGAAAATGAAATGCCAATATGACAGATTTTTCTCTATATGCAAAGAGTGGTATGGGCTAGATATTCCCATTTCTATATACCTGTTAATTCTCCATTCAGTGTACAAACTATGACACATAGCAGTTAACTTTATTTTCTTTATTTCACAGACATTCTTTGCTGAGATTAACCAGATGTCCTTCTGACCCTTTCTTCATTTGTGTCAATGTGGGTCTCAAGCCACACTTATTTTTCATCTGAAATAGCTTTCTTATTACACAGTTTCTTAAGAGCATCTTTCATCTGTGCATTCCTCAAGGTATAGATTAAGGGATTTAACATGGGAGTTATTGCAGTGTAGAATACAGTAACTGCTTTATCAATGGGTAAAATCACAGCAGGTCTCATGTATATAAATATACAAGGCACAAAGAATAAGACGACTACTGTGATGTGGGAGACACAGGTGGAGAGGGCTTTGCGCCTGGCTTCCACAGTGTGGTTCTTCAGGGAGCGTAGAATACTCACATAAGAGATCATCAAGAGGAGGAAGTTTAGTAGGCAGATAAAGCCGCTGTTGGCAGAAACAAAGAGTCCTAGAGTGTGGGTATCAATGCAGGCCAGATTGAGCAAAGGGCTTAAATCACATGAAAAATGATCTATGACATTAGGACCACAGAAGGGCAGTCGGAAGATGAAGAAGATCTGTATGGTTGAGTGAAGAAAGCCTCCCATCCACACCACTCCCACAAGCAGGCTACACACCCGTGAGCTCATGATGGTTGTATAGTGTAAGGGCTTACAGATGGCCACATAGCGGTCAAAGGCCATTACAGTGAGTAGGATAATCTCACTACCACCGATGAAATGTTCCCAAAATATTTGACTCATGCATCCTTTGAATGATATGGTCTTCTTTTCATAGAGTGAATCTGCGAAAAGTTTGGGAGTATTAATAGAGCAGTAGCAGGCATCAATGAAGGAGAGATGGGCAAGGAAAAAGTACATGGGGGACCCAAATAATGGGCTGCTAGTGATAGTAATCACAACAAGCAAATTTCCTACCAGAGTGAAGACATAGATGAGAAAAAACACAACAAATACAATTTTCTGCATCTTTGGATTTCCAGTGAGGCCCAGTAGAACAAATTCTGTCACGTTGCTCCTAAACTCCATGTATTTCATGTAATGTTTCAGACCTGGAAAAAATCAGTGTGCTATTTATCAAATTTAACCATTCTAGTAAATGTTAAATGCTTAGGTTTATTAAGGTGCAAATTCCTCTGAGAACTATTTTTGATAGAAAAAATATTTTTGGTTCTGAAGATGAATTCTGTCACAACTGTAGACTTGAATTTTGTACACACATATTTAAGGAAGCCATGTATGTTAACCAAATCAGCTCAAATGACTGAAAGTCTATCTTGAACTAGACTGTACATACATACTGGCAGATAAAATGGAGAGAAAAGATAAAACAAGATTGTAGAGACAATGAATGAAAAAAAAAAAAGGATTTCCCCTCTATCCTTAGGGAAGTGGGGAATCATGGAAAGTAATTTAGAATAGGAGCAAAACCTGGAAAATCTTGGCTATAATTCTAGTAAGATCTTTGTGTGAACTTCACGTGGGCTGAAGTTCAGTAAGGAGTAGAAGAGAGACATTGGAAACCTAGTAGGAGATTATTCGAAGAGTTAGCATGTAATGTAATAAGATGGTGGTGAAAATACATATGAGTTGCTATGAAAACATTCAAAATACTTGTTGTATAGACCCAAAATCTTTACAATAGCTAATAATTATTCTTCTAATGATCAATTGCTATATTCAAAGTAGCAAGATTTATGCATATATTGATCCATTTAATTCTGCTCAAATCTATGCTGCTAGTACTTTGCAGAAAGAGTCTTGGAGATTTATGTTGATAATATTTAATCAGTGTAAATATTTAGCTGTTCTACATGTTTTATTGGACATTTCCTGATTTAACTATCACAAGTACATGATATGATTTCCATCACCATATTTTACTCCTTTTACACCTTATGAAATAAATGAATAGAGAAGTTATGAGCCCTGTCTAAGATCAAGCACATTAAGCCAAGGTTAGGTCAGATTATATTTAGTTTTTTACTTCTATATTCTTTCCTATGCCATCACTGTTATAATTAATACTGCTGAACTAGTAACCAACATTTAATATGATTGCAAATATCATGAGTTTATTATTATTCATATGCAAGTATATATAGAGCAATTTCATTAGCAAACACACAGATATGTTTCAGTTCCCAAATATCAACTAGAACACTATACAACATATATTGAGTCCTTTTTCAAACCCAGTTCTCCAAATCTTCAAGAAAATGAGTCCCAAAACTCTTTCATAAAATTTTGAAAATGAGTACCATAGTGGATTAATTTTTTGAACATCAAAATTTCAAGACTAGATTTCTTGTCCTTCCACTTGCAACTGCTTTAATGTGGGCATGTCACTGGCCTCCTCCCTGCTTGTTTCCTCATAAGTGCTAATAGAGACAAATAAACTTTATGGAAATGTGTATGAACATACCCACTGCCCTGCTGTAGACACACAAAGGACTTTCATTATATTTGTGAATGGACTTAGGAAATGGGATATAATTGGATTTTTGACCAATAATGCAGAGAGAAATTTCACTAAGCAAGGTGTTCCTGACACATTATCTCCAATTTCACGTTAAAAATTCTATAGAGATTCATATTATTCACAGCAACTGACCCAAGGAAGGAAATCTGTTGGTGCTTTAACTAAATAGCTGTTAGCTGATGTTAATATTCATTTATACATCTTTTCTGTTTGTAGTTATATTTAATTTGTGTTCCATTCTCATGCTGAAACTTGATTATTAAAGATGTCTCCTTTGTATCTGGTGCTAGGAATCTTAGATTTTTCATCTGTTAGATCATATCAATGCTATTTATAAATCTTTGGAAGAATGGGGTGAGGTTGAAATGTACTATTGCCATAGTGGAAAAGCCTGGAAACAAGATGCTGATTATATACAAAAAGTAACAATTTTAAATAAGCATTAGAACTATTGAAAAGCTTACCTTACAGTCCTAAGTTAGGAGTGTTTAGAACAAAGCCATCTTCAAACCGACATTCTCTTGGAATAAGTCACTTTCAGTGTGAAAGATATGGCACCCAAAGAGAACTATTCAGTTGAACCATTGCAAAATAAACACTTGCTATGTGTTTTTATATCTCAATCCTTTCCTCTATCATAGATTCTTAATGTTTCATAGAACACCTGGAATATGCATTTAGAAGGGATTCATTTGAAACACAATAGAAAAATGATCTTCTATAGATGACTCTGGTCCCACAACCCAAAAGCAGAAAGAGTCGAGAAAATACTCTCACATGTTCCATGCCACCCATGATTAGTCCGTTTTTGGAGATGTAATCAGCCAAGCTTATTTACTCGTTGGTCCACATGGATATTTAAAGGGATTTTTGTGAAGAGTCAAGGACCTTGTCTTGTAGTTTCTGCTTTTTCTCCCTGGAATTAATTATCATTGAAAGTCTTTGTCTTAGAGGCAGGTATTCTGGAGAGACAGGTTTGAGAAACACCCATTTTTGTGTGGGGAATTGTATTCCCTATACTTGGAACCTGAACACATGGCGCCTCCTGTCATTACCTGAACTTGAACTTCCCTAGCTTTCCTAGAGCAGTGGTCACCTTCCATATTAGCAATGGTGACACCTGAGATGTGGAATATTGAAAATTGTAAACAATATGTCAGAAGGAAGAAGATAAATATCAGATATTCTTATTTATATGTGTGATATAGATGAAAATAACCAGATGGACAGTTATTGCTAATCCAACTAGTATGAGCTGGTTCTCACTGGATCTGACCTGGCCAGTTTCTACTCCAACACTCTAGGGCATTTCAACTAGTTCTCACAGACTATGATGAGTTCTGATTGGTTCTAACCTAATCTGACTACATACATCCAGATCTACCTACTTCTGATTACCTGTAATAAGTTCCAATCACTATTGGCTGGTTCAGACTGATTTCTACTACTATTTCTGGCTAGTTCCAACTGCTTTGGATCTGAATTAGACCAATATTGACCAGTTTAAATAAACCCCCACTGTTGTAACCCAGTTCTCCCTGCTTCTGATCAGCTCTACCTTATTTGCACCAGTTCTGACCAGAGAAAGGATGTTGGTGTGGGAATGAAGAAGGGAAGGGGCCCAATAGAACATGGTAGGGATGTGATGGGGGGCAGGGTGTGAAAGCATACCCTTGTAGAAGGTTGATTCTGTAATTCCTTTTTTTGTGGTAGTTAATAGATGTCAACCTACTTTATAAATCTCAAAATCATAACTTGGGAATAATTAAAATAAAATTCTCAGAAAATTTCATTGTTTTCATTTTTTCCTTATGATTCATGCTTACTGTGTTAGAGCTAATGAACAGTGATCTTTGTAGTAGAGGCTTTGAACCAAATGTTCATTATGATGCTGAGAAAACATCACAAACCCAAAGTTGCTTCCTAATACATTGGTTCTTTTTGTACAGTTTTCTTCTATGTTTTAATGAAATGTTGTCCTTAAATTTCTTTATGTCTTTAATTGATGAGATTCTTTCACATAAACAAAAATGAAATTTGGTTAGTATCGGCATAGATAAATAATTATTTCACTAAACATTATAACCAAGATTAAACTTATACCAATAGTCATGCTTCTTCCTCATATTTGATTTATACTTGATATGAGTACTTCAAGACATTGCTTAGTAAAATTCAGAGGTAAAACCAATTAGCTGATAAGAATGCTGCTATTTATTTTCTTACACAGTACTCTGTTACTGTCCTACCATTTTTGGTAATAGTGTCCTGTAACTGACAAGTTCATATCATAAGTCATTTATATTTATATTTATATTTTATATTTTCACATGATCTTCATTTACCTTTTTCTTGGAATGAAGCAAATAGTTTCAACATTATTAGTTCTACTTGAAAGTTGAAGAAACAAGTTCAGAGGTTGTCAATAAAAATTAACAGGATATATGAGACTGGACATTCATATTCATGTTTATAGATGAGGGATCTCTTCTCTGTACCATATTGCTCCCTCACTGTTACCATTATCAGAGAAAACCCAGTTCTTTGAAATAAAAAGTCTTTTCAGTAAATCATGATTCTGCTACAGAGGACACTTTGCTAGGGAAAAAGTGATGGTTTCAATATGTTAACTCTCTGTTCCTAGGTATACAACATTAAAATGGCAGCACTGCTCTAAATTAATGTTTAAATAAGCAAGTCATTATTTAATTACATTGGACTCTTCAACCTATCAATAGAAAGAGCTGGCTCTCCAAAGTGTTTCTAACTTTTCAACAGAAACCTATAAAATGTCTTCGGAATATATAGGTAAAAGATGCATTTTTCTGTATATTAATGGTCTGTGTTTCTAAAACCAGATATCCTGTGTTATGAATTCAGTTTTCTACTTTTTTTTCCTCTGTGATTTGACTTGAATCTTTACCAAGTCTACCAAGAAATTCAGTGACTAAATTAAGGCTATAGTTACTATGAAAATCTTGAGCTTTCTTCATTTCAAGAATAAATAGATCTATTTGATATATGGAAAGTTGGTGTGTGACTGAGATTTATGCATAAATCCTATGTAGCACAGACAAAAATTGAAATCTCAAATTTACATAGGCTGTCATTGGTAGATATGGAGAAAGGCACAATATCATATATTCAAATATACTAAGAGCTGGGATTTCATTTGAATAGTATGGCATGTTGCCCATCTGATACATGGATTTGTATCAGATATATTTTGTATCCTAAATTGCTACTTAATTCCTTAGTGAACTTATATAATTAACAGAACTCTCATATTTTGGTGTTTCCTTGTATGTAAAATGTGTATCAGAATAATCCATTTGGCTTGTGAGAATTTAAATCTCTGCAATATATTTACAGAAGTCTCAGGCATAAATCACACTCTCACTAAATATAATTATATAGGTAGATAGACAGATACTTAATCTTCAATTTAAAAGATCAAGTCTTTAATACATTCTGTATGATCTATAATTTTTAAATATGTAAATCTCTCTAAAATCTAAAATTGCTCTTACAGATGTTTTATTTTCTG